ATATCATATACTGAGTTTCTAGTTTAACTACAATTGTATCAGCCATAAAGGAACAATTATCATAGTTTGACAGGGTACGAAAATTTTGGGGATCGATCGATATATTATTAGACTTATATGAAATCCATCAATTGTAACTGTAATGAAAACTCTCGGGAAGAAATACAAACATCAGCAAAATTGTTATATTAAAAATCTATCGGTGAATATCTAAACGTCTTGAGATAACACACTCATGTTGGGGGTCATTTCTGGATGATACTGATAACAGTTATCAGTAATGATATATTCTCGGGTTTGCGCATCAGTGGTTATATTATATATATATGTATCATACAGTAACCATAATATGTAAAACGTCAAATCATCATATACCTCCAATTCAGTTGTACTTTCACCTCCTGTGGAAATATATCATCAAACTTCATGTCTGAAAAACTGAATGTACCAGGTGATGCTACCGAGTATGAGATGTGTGTGTAAGTGTGTGTGTGTGTGTGTGTGTGTGTGTGTGTGTGTGTGTGTGTGTGTGTGTGTGTGTGTGTGTGTGTGTGTGTGTGTGTGTGTGTGTGTGTGTTTTACATTGTTTACATACTGTATTACAAAACGATATTTCTTTTATCTTGGTCCTATTTACAACAATATACTCGTACGCACTCTTACAATGCATTTCGAGCTGCCATACGAGCTAGTGCTAGATTACACACACAAGCACCAGAATGCTCCTTAAATCTAAAAACTCCAAAGAAAAAAAGAAAAAAAAATACGGAATTCAAAAAAGGAAAATAATACGCACCCTCCTGTAGCAACTAACACAAATGCAAGAAATGAGGAAAGAGAGGAAGAGGATTAGGAAGAGGAGGATGAAGAAGAAGAAGAAGAAGAAGAAGAAGAAGAAGAAGAAGAAGAAGAAGAGGAGGAGGAGGAGGGGGAGGGGGAGGGGGAGGGGGAGGGGGAGGGGGAGGAGGAGAAGGAGGAGGAGGAGGAGGAGGGGGAGGAGGGGGAGGGGGAGGGGGAGGAGGAGAAGGAGAAAGAGGAGGAGGAGGAGGAGGAGGAGGAGGGGAGGAGGAGGGGGAGGGGGAGGGGGAGGAGGAGAAGGAGAAGGAGGAGGAGGAGGAGGAGGGGGAGGAGGAGGAGGAGGAGGAGGAGGAGGAGGAGGAGGAGGGGAAAGAGGAAGGAGAAGGTGAAGGAGAAGGAGAAGGAGAAGAGGAAGAGGAGGAGGTGGAGGAAATAGTAGGAGATGAAAGAGGAAAAGGGAGAGGGGGAGGAAGTAGAAAAGGAGGAAAAGGAGGAGGAGGAGGAGGAGGAGGTGGAAAAGGAAGAGGAAGAGGAAGAGGAAATGGAGGAAGGGGGAGAAGAAGAGGAAGAGGAAGTAGAAGAGGAAGAGGAAGAGAAAGAGGAAGTGGAAGAGGAAGAGGAAGAGGAAAAGGAAGAGGAAGAGGGAGAGGGAGAGGAAGGGGAAAAAGAAAAGGAAAAGGAGAAAAAAGAAGAAAATGAAGAAAAGGAAGAGAAGGAAGAGGAGGAAAAGGAGGAGGAGAAGATGAAGAAGGAGGATGTTCTAAGCCTCTCCTGGATAGCTAGTACACATCCATATGCACAACAAGACTACCGATGAACGCATTGTTCAGCTTCTAGGAATATGCATCACGCACTTTCTCAACAGGAGGGGAAAGGAGGGAGATTTGAAAATAATAGAAGATAAAAGGGGAATGGAAGAGAGGAAGATAAACAATTCTGAACAAACGAAGTCATTGCAATCCATAGAAACTCCGCCAGGGTTCATCGTATGTTACATAACACTTAACAAGATATGGTACGTATTCCAGCCCAGTTCCCTGATCTTCAGTGCAAAAAGTAGCTGTCAGTCTACTGTGTATGTATTTAATGTTTTAAAATTTCACATATATGTATTTTTTTTTATTTCTCTCTCTCTCCCAACGATGTAAGATAACGCTGCCCTATCTTTTACCCTGATGATTTTTTTTTACAACGCAGAGAATGTGATTATACATATATATATATATATATATATATATATATATATATATATATATATATATATATATATATATATATATATATACATACACATATTTAGGTTGGATATGCTATCATTGCAATTATACTATACAGCTGTTAATACTTTTTTTCTTCTAATTAAGACGGGGAAGGAAATATTACTTGATCTTGATTCACATTTTGCAAAGCTTTCTTCTTCCTCCTTTCATTCGGCATAATTTTCTCTCTTAAATCACAGCAGGTTCGTATTAGACTGGTTGGTAACATACGTGTGGGTACGTAACACACTCCTCTTTAAAACTCGCTCGCCTTTTGTTCTCTCTCTGTGGTTCCTGTGGCTGTGACTTACTCGAAGACTTGTAAATATAAAACACGCGGCCATTTTCTACGAGACCATCACGTACGTACTAGAAACTGGTTAGCACTTTCGTGAACTTGACCGTGCTTTCTAGAAGTTCTTTGACTGTCTCCAGAGCAACGCGGCACATGCCCAGCTCCAGTGAACATGGTGAACACAAATGAGGTAAGATTAGCTCTGGTTAACATAATGGAGACGCGTTCAAGGGAATGAATCACTGAGGGACGTGAACAGTTCTGTGGATATAATGCACAGCAGATATTGTTCATAACTCTCTGGTGAACATGATATGCACATTAGACTAGTACAAGTTCTGGTGAACATGCCTATGCCAGAATGAAGTGAACTCAGTTATGTTATTGAAGGATGAACATACAAAAAGAATTCGGTCAGCTGTGGTGAACATGATGAATATACCAGAAGAAAATGATAATAGCTTGCACATATCAAATTCGAACCTCCCTTTGGCAAAACGAAATGAACACAGATATCAGCAGGACAGATATACCAGATATATCAGCGTCTACTGAAACACTTCTATTACAAATGAAACCTACAGTATTCCGGTGAGCTGTACACATAAGGAAAACGTGACTGGAGAACTAATTTACATATCAGACGAAAATAAACAGATGACAGTAACATACAGCACAATGACGTTTTACTCATGGAGTAAGAAGTGGTTTCATATCATTTTCTTTATACTAGTGGTAACTGTTTTTACTTCTTCCCGTAGTGGTAACTAAAAGACATTCACAGGTACACGAAAAAGTCTACCATCATAATAGAGGATGACATTTGATTCCATACATTTTTAGAGTAACACTAACATCCAATACATAGACTCAAGCCTTATAAACTCTCCCCTCGCTTACCACCGGCCATTGTTTGTGTGAATTTAGGAGTACAGTCACAGATACAAATTACTTGAACCGATAAAAGTGTTAATGACATATGAAATCCTCACTAATCAATGTATATATGTATATAACAATGAAATGCCATATATAATGTATATTCACCACTGCTGAAAGCCTTAAAGTAAAATAGATATGAACTTTTGTGGACATCAGAGCTAAGAAAAGGTAGATAAAATAGTACGATTGGAATCATCAGGAATGAGATAGCGATTTGGGAGAAAATGATAAAATACACGGCTGACCAGCTAGTAAAAGAAAAGAAAAGAAAAGAAAAGAAAAAAAGGAAAAATGCGTCTATTTCATATTACTTCGAGGCCCTTGTATAGGTGGCTAATTCCCATACAAACTTCGATGTACTTACACTTGCAATCTACATACATATATATATATATATCTATTTTAATATCCATGGTGTCTTAACATATGATAGTTGTCGTAATATTCACAAAAAAGCATTTATGTGATACTCCTAGGATGAGGCGCCCGTGCAGATGTGTTTCTTCTGTTTGTCGAAAAATGAAAATAACGAGGAAAAAAGAAATACAAAATTAGTGGTAAACTTCCCTGTGATTCTCCTTTCCTTTGCATGTGCAAATGCCTGTTCATGTATATATACATACATACTTACTTACGTACATACATACATACATATATATATGTATGTGTGTGTGTGTGTGTGTGTGTGTGTGTGTGTGTGTGTGTGTGTGTGTGTGTGTGTGTGTGTGTGTGTGTGTGTGTGTGTGTGTGTGTGTGTGTGTGTGTGGGTATGGGTGTGTGTCATTACATGTATAAAGATAATAATTTTGAGGTGTATGCGTATGTGTAATTGTGTGTGTATGTTTGATTACTTGTTTAAAGCTAATGGTTTGCATCTAAAAGTACAACTAAAAGTTTATGTCAGTATTGCTGATTAGTTACCTTTACAAATTTATCTTTCTGTCACACACACACACACACACACACACACACACACACACACACACACACACACACACACACACACACACACACACACACACACACACACACACACACACACTTACCCCCACACACACACACTCATACACTCACATACAGACACACACACACACACACACACACACACATATATATATATATATATATATATATATATATATATATATATATATATATGTATATGTATAGTATATGTATATGCATGTGAATGCATATACATATACATATACATATACATACACACACACATACACAGACACACACACACATGTATGTATGTATATATCTATATACATATGTTTATGTATGCATATCTAACTAATTTCGATGTCAATGTGTTATGTGTTTCCCCCTATACACACATACACATTTGCCTGTATGCATACATACATACATATATATATATATATATATATATATATATATATATATATATATATATATATATATATATAAATATATATATATATATATATATATATATATATATATACATATATATACACATATATACATATATACACATATATGTATATACACACACACACGAACACACATATATATGCACACACACAGCCATATACAGAACGAGAGCCCAAGAGCTGCACACGCAAAGGGCGAGGAGGACCCGCGGGAGGAGGTCCCTAGATGCTGGCCAGCCAGTGCAGGTGAAGGAGGAAGAGCAGTTGGTAGGTGGCTCGTGCCAGGCGGCGAGTTAGACGTCC